TTCGTTACTTTGAACCTGGCACCTTTAAATAAAATTGCTTTTATGTATTATTTGTGAGTGATGATATATGTAATGAGTGTATCTATTTAGATAACGATCCATATCAAACAATTGTGTCTATGTAGACCAAAATTACTTCAAAAAGGATGAATAAAATGCTTCAGAAACCTTAAAATAATGCAATTATCTTTTGTACAGCCTGAATTGTATTTCCTTCCAGGCTGCTTCACTCTGGCCTTCCTTTCCCTCCATCCCACCGCTTCTTATATATTCATTTTGTTAGTGATACAGCTTCTTTCATAAGCATTTTAAAAATAGACAATGACATTTACTTTATCTTTTTTCCTTCTAACTTTCCAGTCCTGCTTCCTGAAACATCTCCACTGCCTGAGTTGTCATTAAAATATTTTTCAAAACATTACACAATGCAGGCTGGGCTTGATGGTACATGCCTGTAATCTCAATGCTTTGGGAGGCCTAGCTGGGAGGATCACTTGACTAGGCTGTGCAACATAGCAAGACCCTATCTTTTCAAAAAAAGTTAAAAGTTAGCCAGGTGCCATAGTCCCAACTATTCAAGAGGCTGAGACAGAAGGGTCACTTGAGCCTGGGAGTTTGAGCCTGCAGTGGGAAGCTATAATTGGGCCAGTGTACTGCATTCCAGCCTAGGTGACAGAATGAGACTCTCTTAAAAAAAAAAAATAAATTACCCAATACAAAATAACAAGCACATTCTTATTTTGATCTGAACTATAAGCTCTTTCAAATAGCTTTTTTTTTCTCTTTGCCTGTATGTACCAAATCTTCCCAAACAGAAATCACATTATATTGAGAAGTCAGGGGAAATTTATATCCTAGATTGCAATCTAGTTTCTACATTTAAGAAATTCAAAAAAAGAACCTCTACTTTTATTTAATAACATTTTAGTTTAAGCTATTAAAATTCTTACATACTTGTGCTTTCTTTTTTCTTAGTTCTGAAAAGTTTAACTTGTAAAAAGCATTGTAATTTTTAAAAAATTCTTTTATATGTTTGCAATGTGCTTTGATCAGTGAGTTTGAAATGGATTCCCTTTGCTTGTCTTTTGGTCAAAGCAGGGTACTTTTCTGCCTTTCATAGAAAGTAAACTGCCCATCTTCCTAAAGAATAGAGTGTGGAGGGCAAAATTCTTCTTCATAAGAAAAGGGAGACTCAAAGTAATACTTTCTAAGCTTAATAAAAGACAGTTGTGGCTGAAAAACTGCAGTAATGTCATGTAAGTTTTATCTTGCATAAGCAGCAGAGTGAGGAAATTCCAGAATTAATAAATGTGCTGGTACAGTTGTGCCCTTAGTTGAAAAGTTCAGGGTGTTCTTTTCATACTCACGACTGGATATTTTGCTCCGTATTAGCCTTTGCAAGATTAATTGGCTCCCTCTATTTCCAAGCTGCTAAAACATTTATAAATGGGTCTATTTAGAGGACGTAAAATATAAAGTAGATGCAATAAATGGTCATTTTGACTAAAAATTATTGTCTATATCTGACTTGATTTTGTAATAACCAATGAGTTATTTTAAATTGTCAAGTCCTCTTAAATATTGAGTTATGAGATGGAAAATAAAACATTTGAGAAATAATGAAAGGAAGTGGAGAGTTAAAAGCCAAAGATAGTCTCTCTAACCAAAGCTTTAGTTATTAATGTAGTGCTCGTTATCCAGGGGGCAGCTGGCAAGTTGATCATCAGTCCTGCCAATGATATAAGAAGAAATTGGCTTAAAATAGGAAATATAATTTCATGACCCAGAAGTCTATTGAACAGTATAATGAAACTTGAAAGAGTTTACTCCAAAGTTTCAAAAGGTAGAAAATGTTTTCATTTTGAAGGAGTGGTTTTGGTATGTTACTAATTAGATGATTTCTTTAAGCCTTATGTCATGCATTTCTTAACTCTTTCTTTCTCTTGTTTTCCCACTCTTTCTTCTTAGAAAAGGAAGACTAGTAGATCAAATGGGTGTACAATACTGAGCAGAAATAAGCAGGTTTAATCAAAGTATACTTTTGTGTTAATTTCAAAATTAAACATGCATACTCCTGTTTCATTTGCTTTCAACACAGTCTGAAAGTTCAGTTTTTAAGAATGCCTATATAACTTTGGACAGTGACTCTAAAATTACTCAATTTATAGATGTATTTGCTCAAAATTAAGATAATAGAGAACTTTTGTTATTTTGTCTAAGTAAAATATTTTAAGGCTGAACTTCATTCTGAGAGAAAAGTTGTGAACCATGTGTTCTTAGAGCATGCACTTTAGAACCACACTCATCAAGTTCTTCCAGTTACGAGGTAGGCTTATTTCAAGTCACATTAGTTCTCTGAGGCTCAGTTTTTTTAATATAAAATTGAGATTATTTGTAATGCCATCCTTACAGAATAATTATGAAAATCCAATATTAAATATATTAAGTTACCTTGATAAGGAAATGACTAGAGGGTCTGATATTTAGTACTCCAGCAACAAGTTTTCATTCTTTTACCTTTTTAAAAATATTTTTCTCTTTTTTTTCCAGGCCTCATGTATACAAAAGCAGGTGGAAAAAATGCCACAGTCTTTCTGTTGTTTTAAACAGACTATAATCTTTCTTTTGACTTTGAAAGATTTAGCTGTTTTTCAGGTTAATGGAAATCCCATTCAAAATTCCTTTTGAATTCTGATTTGTGTAACAACCAGAGTGAAATGTTGTCTTTTCTAAAGGTGTCAACTGAGCTAGAATTAATCGACACTTCCAAGAAAGAAAGAAATAGTGACAGAGGGTTATCTTTTCTTTTTCTACCTGATCTTTAAAAAAATAAGCATCACTTAGGATTTTGCTTTTTAATTATCTCTTATGATACTGGGGAGTACTGTTCTGTAGCTAACACATTTAATTGCTGGCCTCTACTTTCAGTATTGGCAGATTAGGAACAGTGATCATGGTTTATATTTGGAAATGATTGAAATAATGCAGTAAGATTTCAATTTCCTTAAAAACAATGACTCATTTCATGATGTTAACAAAGAACTAAACCATGTCATCAAAATTCCTAATGAATATGCCTAATTTTTATTTTTTAAAGATTAAAATGAACAAAAAAAATGGGAGCCTCATTGATAGTTTATCTCAGATGCCAACATATTGTTTTAATACAATTAAATGCCAAAACTTATAAATAAAATTAAGATATCTTAAGACATATTTAAAAATATACAAATTCTCTACAATAATATTTATAAATACAATATTGTGTCATTGTTACTTTCTAGGGGTTATAGTTTCATAAGCAAATTTTTAAAATTTTTCTACTTACAAGTCTAGATGATGATTAAAACAATCACCAATTTCCACACTGCAAACACAGATTCTTTTTTAAATATGAAATATTGTGACTTGGTATTTTCATTACTATACACTGTCCTTCTTCTAACCTAAACTTTATCTAATAGACAGTTTTCTATTGATGGGATATTTCTTCTCTGCTATAAACATCTATCACAGAACTCTTAATTGAATTGAAATGGGAGGAATTGATATTGATTTCTGTAAGTTACATGTCATGTAATTCCTCAGTCATATTTTAAGATATAACTATAACTTTGTATTAGTTTAGAGTCTTCTATGTCAATATATTACATATATTATGATGAATGTGTGCTACATTGCTTTCAGATACTTTCATGCCTTTTGTTTCTGTCTGTGTCCTATAGCAGGTACTCCCCAGTTACTTGAGGATTTTAACAGAATTTAAAGATTTAGCAAAGAAAGCTGCCAATTCAAATTACTTACTCTTTCCCTGTCTCATATACATGTATGCATTTATATGTGTATTCGTTTGTACCTTATTTGTTCTTGCTCTTCTGAAAACCCACACATAAAGTTGAACATAATGCACAGCATTGGGATTTGTGACACTTGAATTCTGGGCACACCTTGGTAATTAAAACTATAGTACTATGACATCCCTTGAGTCATTGTCTCTCAGTCTCTGTGGGAATTCACTCAGGGTGGTGATAAAAATACTAAAGGAAAAATATTAGAGATAGCTTTAAGGAATAGTCACAAACCTTCTTGGAAGGCCAAGAGGTTTTTGCATAGTGTCAGTAGAAGTTTGAGCTTAAGGCAGCCTAAATCCTCTTTACATTTAGATAAAAAGAAAACCAAATAGCTGAAACATGTAGAGAAGTTTATCTGAATAACTTGTTCATTCATGTAGTCTTAAAACTAACATTTGAGCTGGATGGCCCTCTTGTGGGGAGGTCGACCAAGGAGATTATCCTCTAATAGTGTTTGCTTTAGGCCTCAGAGCTTGGCCTGTAATTTTCCTCTATAAATGTGTTAGCTTAGAGCCTCTGTTATTAAATTCATACTGAATAAATGCAGAGAAGGCCAACTAGCCAAGGTCATGTAGCTGCAATCTCTCTCTGTGAGTGGCTCACGACCACCAGCCCATTTGTTCACTGGAAATTTGTGTCTAAGTGCATTTATTCATCCATCATGCAGCTACAATCTGTAGGACAGACCCTGGCAAGTCTCCTGGACTTAATACTAACTGAATATAATAACTGAATTGAACTGTGGAGAAAATCATCCAGAATAATTACCTAATGATTCAAAACATATTGAAAAGTGCAAAGCACTTTAGAATTCTAAGAGTGATTAATGGAAAGACTTCATCAAAACATATTATTTTCTCATGGTCACCAGAAAGGACACACCTAACCCTTTATTCCATCAATAAATCTGTACATAATCCTCCATAGCTTTCATCCCTTAGATGAAACTCTGAATAAGTCTACATGTCTCACACTGTATTTTGATTCTAGATTCCACTTGAAAAACTTACTCTTTAATAAATCATATAAAATGAGACAAAGGTGAAACTTTGTTGTCAATTACTTTTCTATCTAAACTTTTGCAATAAAATGTCTAGATTTTTTGAACCAGGTGACAACAAAATTATGAAGACAAGTGAGTTATAAGCCTTTTAAAGTAAGATATCTAATTGTTTATTAATATTTGATCTCAGATTGAAATTGAATGTCATAAAAGGAGAATTGCTAAATTGCTATTGTTGCTACTAATGAAAAATGCAATTGCCTTTTCAGTAATTAGAATAATAAAACAGAAACTTTTATATTCAGAGTTTTATGTGGCACATATAACTTTCTTTTCATAGGTCTTCTGATTCTGGTACGGTGGTATCATCTGTAGGTTCAGTTGTTATTACTATAGGAATATTCTCAGATATCCATCCCTTCGGAGTCCTATTAAAGGACCGTCTGCCAGAAAGGGGATTGGCAAAGGACATAAACCTGGGATCTGTTAGCAATAGTAGCTCAAAATCTGGAACTTTAAATTTAACCATTTTTGATGCTTTTTCAAAACCTCCAAATGGGGTGGCAACTCTGTGGAAAATAAAAAAAGAAAGCAGATATTAATATTTAAATTTATTTGTCAAAATAGAAAACCATTTCATGATTTTATAGGCATGATTTCATGGTTGTGTTGTTTAATTCATGATTTTATGGGCTTACTTATAGTCTATGTATGATTGTTATTTTCTGACCTCTGAAGCAAGCATTTCTACTTTAAAGACCATACTTTTATAAAAAGTCAAATATTGATAACAAATTCATGTGAAATTCCTTTGTATATACTCTTAGTTTTGGACTAATCTATTCCCTGTACACTGAGCTCATTACAGACACGTCTTGCCTCTGCACTTTTACCAACAATATTTCCCCTATTCAAGATATTTCTAGGCCAGGTGTGGTGGCTCATGCCTGTAATCAGCACTTTGAGAGGCCAAGGCAGGAGGATCATCTGAGGTCAGGAGTTCGAGACCAGCCTGGTCAACATTTTAAAATCCTGTCTCTACTAACAATACAAAAATGAGTCAGGCATGGTGGCAGGCACCTATAATTCCAGCTATTAAGGAGACTGAGGCAGGAGAATTACTTGAACTCTGTAGACAGAGGTTGCAGTGAGCCAAGATCACGCCACTGCACTCTAGTCTGGGCAACAGCATGAGACTCCAACTCAAAAAAAAAAAAAAACCCACAGATATTTCCTGCTGGATGCAGTGGCTCACATCTGTAATCCCAAATACCTGGGATGCTGAAGCAAAAGGATCATTTGAGCCTAGGAGTTTGAGACCAGCCTGGGTGACATAGCAAGACCTCATCTCAGAAAAAAAGAAAGAATGAAAGAAATGAGAAAGGAAAGGAAAAGAGAAGGGAAGAAAAGGATAAGGGAGGGGAGAGGAGGGGTGACGGGAGGGGAGGGGAGGTGAGGAGAAAGAGGAAAAGAGGGGAAAGGAAGAGAAGGAAGAAAGGAGGAAAGGAACGGAAAATAAAAAAGAGGAAATTTTCTCCCTGCCTTCTTCACTTGTGTATGTCCTACAGCCTTACAGTTCTAACTCCCTTCAAACTATCCCAGCCCACACTTCTTAGCCACATTCCTGTAGCATCAATTGTTCTATGTCAGTCATTTTCTACTAATGAAATGGTACTTTGTATTGTGAGCATCTCCTATTAAGAATATAATCTGGTTTGGATTATCTGTGAATTATAAACTCTTTTAGAGCAAGAAGTATGTCTGTTGCATCTTTCTATCTCTACCTGAAAAACTTTAGCACTCTTCCATTTGTCTTCTGAATGAAGCCCTGCTTCTTTATGTTGGCATTCAAGAGCCCACATAAGTTTTTAACTTTGATTTAAGTATTTTATTATTCATTCAGTACCAGACACAGTTCCAAGTGAGCAATATAATCAAAGTCTCAGTTCTTACATTCTAGTGAAGGAGATAGACCTTAAACATAACCATATACAAAAACACCTAACAGTGATAACAGCTATGCATAAAGTTAAAATATAAATAGCGTTGTAATACTGAATAGCTGAATGACTAGAAAGTTACTTCAGATTGTGTCACCAGGGAAGACTTCTCTGAAGAGGTGACATTTAAACAGCCATCTGAAGGTCAGAAGTTAGAATTGAAGAGTATGGCTAAAGTACATTAGCACTTGCAGTAGACAGAATAGCTAATGCCAAGGACCCTAAGGCAGAAATATTGTTGGCACATTCAAGGAAGGAAAGAAGGTTTATGTCCTTAGACTAGTGGGTGAGGCTGGGAAGAGGGAAGTGGGGACAGAAAGGTAAAGTTTTGTGGGACTTTTTCCAAGCAAGGAATATGGATTTCCTTTTAAATGTGAAGAGGAATCATTGTAGGGTGGTAAACAGGAGAGTCTATAACCTAATTAAATTTTATAAGAATGATTCTTGCTGCTATTGCTGTGTGAACAGATCGTAAGACAACAGTAGAAGGAGGGAACCTATTGTAGCAACTCAAGCAAGAAATGATGACTTGTATTTCAGGTGTTTTATGTAAAGATGGAAAGAAGTGGGTGGATTCAGGATGTGCTTTACAGTTAGAGTCAACAGGATTTGCTGATAAATTGGATTAAAACTACGAGGAAAATAGATAAATCAAGGAAAACTCCTTTATATAGAGTTTTAGCAACTGACTGGTGGAAGACAGAAAAGAACAAGTTTGGTCCGTGGGTGGAAAACATGATTTAGACATCCCAGTGGAGAGGTCAAGCATGCAGGTTTTGCCCTATTCACTTTCACACACCCTTTAACTGCGTGCTCTTTGCATTTATGCTCTCCTACCTCACTGCCTCTACTCATACTCTTTTTTTTCTCTCTTTCTCTGCTTGGAGTACTCTGATATTTACAACAATATTTCTAAATCCCCTTTAAGCCCTCATTCACATTTAACTTACTTGAAGCTTTCCCAATTTCTCACAGCCAGAAGTAAGCTTTCCATCCCAAAATTTCCATGACTTCTATTTTCACCTCCCCATGACCCTATTTTATATCTTTCATCATATTCATTAGTATGTATGCCTTGTTTCTTACCAGACTGTATTCTGTACTCTAAGAAGATTGGAATTTTCTTTGATGTATCTTTGTAATTCATTATGATATACTCGTATAATGCATTGTACCATAGGACCTGGCATGACTATATAAACTCTCTAATATTGTGAAGATTATTTTAAAACCTCAAAGAGATCTTATTTTCTTTGTAGGCCAGTCACAGTCTTTCTTGAATGGTTTAATTTCTGTGTTCTTTTATTAAAGAATTAATAAAGAAATGAATATGTACCATCTGCTACAAATTCGATTCCATTACTTTCATTTCAATTAAATTTTTCCCTTCCCAAATAGATTTTAGTCTGTAAAAAGGAAAGTCATATTCTATTTTTTTTTATATATCTCCACTGCATCTGTTACAGCAAGGGTACCCAACGCTTAGACCACAGACCAATCACCCATGGTCTGTTAGGAACCAGGCCACTGGCAGGAGGTGAGTAGTAGGTGAGCGAGCATTACCACCTGAGCTCCACCTCCTGCCAGAGCAGCAGTGGCATTAGATTCTTATAGGAGTGCAAACCCGATTGTGAACTTTACATATGAGAAATCTAGGCTGCAGGCTCTTTATAAGAATCTAACTAATGCCTGATGATGTGAAACCATCTCCCCCTGCCCTGCTACCCCTACACCCCTTCCCCCATTCTCAGAAATATTGTCCACAAAACTGGTCCCTGGTGCCAAAAAGGTTCAGGACGGTTGTATTACAGTGTCATGCAACTTCTTTATTAGAAGTTGCCTTTTTGTGACTGATGACTACTCTGTCCTTCCTAAGGTATCATAATCTAGGTTGGGGATGCAGAAGGAGACTTAATTCATTAGGAAGACCTATGTAAGAAGCACTCAGACTGCTGGAAGTAGAGTAAAGCCAACAGTACTTCAAGCATCAGGCATTACATCCTTTATCCAACCAATCTGATAGGAGCTAAATATGTTTGTTGCTGATAATAGTTATCATAGCCTGTGGGAACTGCAGGTGAACTGTGTTTGTCATATTTTGTTTCAAAATTATTTCGATGGCATGAGAAATCTGTTGCTTTTAACTTGCAATATAATTTGACACTTTCCTCTTCTAAAAAGTTTTTATTATGCACAGTGGAAAAAATAATCCTGAAAAGTTTCTGAAAACTGTATTAGGATAGGTCAGAAACTTGAATTGGAAATTTTGTATGTTGATTTGAAATTTTACTATCACACTTCTAAAACAATAAAATCTTGTTTTAAAATATTTGTTGGATATTCTGTTCTTCAGTGTATGTTTTGAACTCTATGATATTTACAGTTTTATAATAATAATACATCTCTAAAATTCAGTTTGTATAAATCAAATTCCAAATTTTTTAAATTTGTAGTTCTTTTTAAATGTATGTAACATATAGGTGTTCATTCTTTTCTGTATGTATTAAATGCTGGGCTCTTGCCTGCAGAATGTTTAATACATATATACTCCTCAAGATAGCCTCCAAATTCTCCCCTTCAGTACTATGCCATAGTTTTTCTAGTAAGTTGATAAACCCCCATCACATATATCTTATCCATCTAAGAAAACCAAATAGTTATTATGAATAACCATTATTTTCCAGGAACATGCTGGAAGCAAATAAGTGAAAATGAAAGTCGTCGTTTTTACTCTCAAAGAACTTGCAATCTATTAAGAAGAAAATAAAATTTTACATTATTTTTTATTAAAAAAAAAAAGGCATACTAAATTATGTACAAGAACTCTCCCAGAATGCACAGGGAGCGGACAATGTGATGAAAAACAAACTAGAGTCCAGATGAGGATATTCAACTTTCCAGTGGAAGAAAACAGAACATTATGAACACAATCATGAACCAAAGATATAGAAAGCAGCTCTCCTGAGTTGAAGGAAGAAGAGATTATAGAGGAAAAGGAGTCACCAAGTACTAGACAAAGTTAAAAAGAAAAAAAACCCAACATGGTGAAACCCCGACTCTACTAAAAATACAAAAAAAAAATTAGCTGGGCTTGGTGGCTCATGCCTGTAGTCCTAGCTACTCGGGAGACTGCCGCAGGAGAATTGCTTGAACCCGGGAGGCGGAGGTTGCAGTGAGCCGAGATTGCGCCACCGCACTCCAGCCTGGCGCCTGGCAACGGAACGAGACTCTGTCTCAAAAAAAAAAAAAAAAAAGATGCTACTTGGAGATTCCTTGTCGGAATTTTAATTTTTTAATATAATGAGCCATGCATGGAGGGAAGTGGGAAGGAATGTATGAAAGAAATGAAAGTGAGGCTGTCCATAATCTTTTACAAAACTTACATATCAATGAAGATAGTATCAAATAGGTGTTGTGGAGAAAAGACTGTGACCAAGTAGTTATTCATGTACCAAAGTAAAAAATATATAAGTATTATAGATATTCATAGACTCAGACTGGTGTTCCCTTCCTAAGAGAACTATTTGAAGTCATACTCCAGATAAATGATGGATAAATAATTCAAATAG